CTTTGCTTTACATTTTTTTTAAAGATTAGGAAGTCATGTAAAAGGAAAACAAGTCCTACCATTTGCAACAACATGGATGGAGCTAGAGGGTATTATGCTCAGTGATATAAGCCAGGCGGAGAAAGACAAGTACCAACTGATTTCACTCATTTGTGGAATTTAACAACAAAGTAAAACTGAAGGAACAAAACAGCAGCAGACTCACAGACTCCAAGAAGGGTAGCAGTTACCAAAGGGAAGGGCTGAAGGGGCTTTAGGGGCATTATAATTAGCACCCACCATATAGGTAGGTCACGGGGAAGGCAGTATAGCAAGGAGAAGACAAGTAATGATTCTATAGCATCTTACTAGGCTGACAGACAGTGTGACTGCAATGGGGTGCGGGGGGGAATTGATAATACGGGTGAATGTCGCTCATGTGAAACCTTCATAAGATTGTATATCAATGATACCTTAATTTTTTAAATAAATAAATAAATCCTTAAAAAAAAAGATTGGGAAGGCATGTGAAAGCAAGGTGGAGCAATGCTACTTTTCACCAGAGAATGAATATAAATAAAGTAGCAATAACTAAAGCATAATGGTATCACAGCCTAAAATAAGGGCATTGCAGTAAATAAAAACATATGGAAGAATAGAATGTTAATTGCGAGGTACCCTAGAAATAAAATTGAGTTCAGTTGCCTCACTATACAAATGCAAAATCTGATACTCAAGAAGCTTAATAATTGTTACGACCAATTAAGTTAAGGCCAGAAAATAATTATTTTTTGAGTGCTCACACTATGCTGGACATTCTTCTAAGCACTTTACATGGTAAACTCAACTGTCACACCAGTTTTATGAAATTAGGTTATATGTACTTTCCCAGGTTTTTTAGCCAGTCAGAAAACTGAGACAGAAAAGTTAAGTGACTTTCCCAGGATACACACTAGTAAATAAGAGAGCTGGGGTGGCAACTCAGGAATGTTGACTCCAGAACTGGTGCATTTAACTGCTTGTGGCTACAGAGCCACTGCTACTTAGGAATCAAGTTAGGCCCTAGGTTTTTTTGTGGATGAATCCTAACCTTTCTCTCTGGAACACCTGAGGACAATTGTTCCTTGCAACCTGGAGGGACACCAGTTCTGGCCTGTGCTGGGCTCTCTATAAGGAGCAGGCAGCTGCTAAATACCCATGATAATGAAGGGTGGATGCTGCAGGGAAATCCAGCACAGCTGAACTCAAACCTCCTCCCCCACAAATCTGAATAAAGTACTTGGCCTTGGGGTATGATATCATATTACTTTTACAGTAGATTTGCCTTCTTAATTATGTTTTGCTAAGATTGCTATTAAAGTCAGTTACTATTCTCTATACACTAATACACCCCAAGGACAGCAAGGGACCATGACTGGTAAAAATGCTTCACGCTGATATGCCTCTGTAAAAAATGAAAAAGGCTTTGTAAAAGCTCTTCTCCACCTTTATTTCAATCCTACATCCCAAGTCTTGGTCTGTATCTTACTGATTTCCCATGTTAATTATTTTAACCTTGTCCTCAGTGGCCTCGTTTGTCTCTCATCACCATAGAAACCAATTGTCTAAAGAACCTTCTTTCTTGCCAATTTCTTTGACCCAGCCCTCTATGTAAGTCTCCCTTCAGCGGTGAATCACCTGCTGAGTTAAGTCTAAGCTCCTTGATCTTGGTTTCCAGGACCTTCTCTAATTTGCGCCTCTTTTATTCTCCTTTTAGAAATAATAACATTTTTATTACTGGAGCAGAGGTTAAAACAGATCACTGTCAGCCAAAATGTTAACTGTAATAACTAACATATTTACATAGTACTTCAGAGTTGAGTAAAACATATTCACCTACATTACCTCAATTAAGTCTCACAATCACTCTATGATATATATAAAGAAGGTAACATGATCAGCATTTTAAGTTTGATAAAATTGGGGCCCAAAGAAATTAAGTGTCCTGACCATGATAACAGCTTGTTGGTGTAGCTATAGCTTGAATATAAATCCTAGACTCCCAGATCATGCTTGTTACACTATACAAGGTGATCAATAATCCTGTTCACCAAAATAGCTATTTTTTTTTCTTTGCCTTATATCCTGGTGGCAGGCAGGATTCTAAAATCTTCCGTCTTGCCAATGGGTTTCAGCCCAGACAAGTTCACTATGAATTCAACAAGACTGAAAAATGACAATGGAATGTTCCTGGGGTGAAAGAGTTTATACCCAACTTTATTCCCATTGTGGCGGGGCAATCACTAGAATCCTGTTCGCTCAGAGCAAGTCTGCATGCAGCAAGCCAGTCTCTGACTCTGGGCCTCTCTGCACCCCCCACACCCCCACACCACAGCTGTCTCAGTCTCTGTCCTTGGAGCTGCCACCACTCCAGTCTCTGCTCTCCTGAAGACCTGCAGTAGCCCAGAGCACTGGGAGGAGCTCTTTATATAGAGTCGGTAACAACATATTGCCCAGACTCGTGTAGTGAGCAAGCCGACCAGGGCCAGGTGAGAAGCCCGGCCATAGGAACCTTCTCTTTCTCCACTCTGCCAAGACTGCCTTCCTCCCCAACCCCTCTGTATACATGTCCTGCATAAATCCCTGGGGCTGTAAATATGATATCAGTCACCTGTTATATGGCACAGTTATCTTTAAGGTTAAGATATTCTCTGGGTGAGCCTGTGTGGGAAAATTGAAGTTCCTATGGCTAGGATCATCACCTGCCCCTCAACTACCTTGATGATGTAATTGCCCGCTGCTAGGCTACTGCTTCCACACCCTAGGCAATAAGCTATTATTGACTGAGTCACTATATAAAGAGCTCTGCCCAGTCCTCTAGGCAGAGATGGAGGTGGATTACAGACCTGCAGACTGCTGGATGCAGACATGATTCTAGTGCCCAACCTATCACTTGGAGAATAAAGCCCGGTGTAAACCCTCTTACCCCAAGAATGTTCCATTATCGTTTCTAGACCTCACTGAATCTGGAGTGAACTTGCCCAGGGCTAAAACCCTCAGGCAAGACAGCCTGACCTAATTAATGAGCTCTTTAAAAGCAGAGAGTTTTCTCTGGCTGGTGGCAGAATAAAAAGTCAGAGAGAGGTACTCTGCTATCTGGAAAAAAGCAACCATCCATGGTGCAAACTGTCCTCAGGGGTTATGTGGGGAGGACCTGAGAGTGGCCTAGATGAGGTGAGGGTGGCTCCCACAACACAACAGGGACCCCAGTCCTACAAGTGTAAGGAACCAAATTTTGCCAACAACAAGAAGGATGTGAAGTTAAATTTTTCTCCAGAGCCTCAGCCTAAGGATATTTCAGCCTTGCCAACATAGTGATTTCAGCCTTGTGATACCCTGGGAAGAGAACCCTGTACCAGCCTTCTGACCTACAGAAATGTGAACAAATAAATGGGTATTGTTTTAAGGCACTAAGTTTGTGATAATTTGTTACACAGCAATAGAAAATGAATACATCATGTACTCCCTTACTCTTCTTTTAATTATACATCTTATGAAACCACTTCTATGTCTCTAGGAACCTAAAGAGTTCCCTGAATCCCAGCAAGTGTAGAATAAATGTTAATGATGCTGAATGAGGCTAAGGAAGCCTTTCTAAGAGTAGGGTAGTAAGAGACCAGGCAAAAACTTTTTTAAATTATCATACAGTAAGCTTTTTTGGTGTACAGTTGTATGAATTTTAATACATGTATAGATGTGTGTAACCACCATCACAGTCAGGATATAGAACAATTCTGTTACCATAAAAACGTCCTTGTAGTGGTCACATCTTTCCCCCACCCCCAATCCCTGTCAACCACTGATCTGTTTTGTGTCACTATAGTTTTACCTTTTCAAGAATATCACACAGTAAATCTTACAATATGTAATCTTTTGAGACTTGCTTCTTTCACTCAGCAATGATGCCTTTGAAAGTCATCTAGGTTGTTGCATGTATCAATAGTTTGTGGAATTGCAAAAATTTAAATCTATTTAGAAGTTTAAAAACTGAAAAAAAAAGGTAGTACTAAGAATCAAAGGATGTTGACACTAGATGGGATCTTTGATATTATCTGGCCCACTCTGTCCTATTACAGATGAATCTGTAAAAGCAATCTGAAATTCAGTGAGAGTTGAGGACTTGCCCAAAATTGTACAGATACAGGTGATAGGGATACAATGGTGAGAGAGATTCAGTCTTCCTTGCAGTCACATAAATCATCAAAATCTATAAAGTGTGATAAATGTTAAGACTGGGGGAAGAACAAGAATTATGAGAACACAGAAAATACTGTATACATTCTTCTCCATTGCGAATGATAGAGTATCAGCTCAAACCAGCATACACCAACAAAATCATTTACTGACTCACTTAATTTAAAAAATTCAAGGTGGTGTGGTCTTCAGGGGCTGCTGGATCCAGTCCCCATGATGATGTCAGAGGTCACAACATTTATCAGTCTCTTACTCTCTTTACCCCTGTGTTCTCGCCTTCATTTTGCATGGTGGCTTCATTCTTTCCTACCACAGGCTCTTGCTATAAACCAGGAAAGACAGATACTTGGAACTCAAGCCTACAACCTTATAGCTTCTGATCCAAAAGAAGGACGGATGCTTTCTCCCCCAGTGTCCTTTATTGGTTCTTCCTCAACTCTGCAACCTCTAAACACTGGAGTTCAGTCCAGAAGTCTGTTATTAGGCTGCTTCACTTCTCCACATACACTCACTTCCTAGGTAATCTCACCTGATATTATGAAGTTGAGTCTCCAAGAGTCTCCATCCCAGACCTTTAACCCATACTTCAAACTATATACACTGCCTATTTTACATCTTTACATGGCTGTCGAACAGGCAGTTCAAATGTAACATGTTCGAAATATAGCGTACGGGTTGTGCGTTTACTTTTCTTAACTGAAGCGCTTCTCCCACGATATCCGCTTGATTTAGTTAGAACTGTTGTGTTCAAAGAACTACAAGTCCCAGAAGGCCCTTCGGCCAGGGCGCCTGCGCATCGCGCACCCTTCCTCTCCCATCCCCGTCGCAGGGAAAGGCCCGCCCCGCGGTGCTGTCGCTCGCACTGGAAGAAGCGGAAGAAGATGGCGCTCACCAGGTGGGTTGTTGATTCGGGTCCTCAATACGGAAGGGTCTGGGAGTACCCACCTTTCTCATTTCTCTGCCCACACTCTCCGGTCGGTGACCCGGCCCGGAGCACCGAGTGACGTGGACCGAGAACACCGCTAGGCCCTCCCGCGGGCCTCCGGGGTGACTAGGCCTCGTCGAAGCTGGGGTCTTTCCCGAGCGGCCTCCCGGCTTGAGTTCGCCGCCTCACCAGGGCCGAAAGCCGCGGGGTGGCGAGCAGGCCTCGGGCTTCGGAAGCCGAGGAGTTGCACGTGCCTTCGCTTCCGCATCTCCGGGTGTAGAGAGCGGTCCCTCGGGTCCGCGGCTCCAGTGGGCGCGAGGGGAGTGTGGAGGGCAGGGGCTTTTTTGTCTGGGCAGAGCGGAGCTGGCGGGAGGCGACTGCCTGGAGTAGGGCCGTTTGTCTAACGAAGCTCTCGCCTGTCTGCCGCGAAACAAGGATGCCTGAGAAAAGGGGCCCGGCGCTGAACAGAGAGTTTTAAATTAGGCACAGTAGTGACCGCTATCTACTAATGCGCGCCGCTGCTCCGCACTTTAACTTTTTACCAGAATTTCTTGTGTAGATGGAACCACTTGAGATATCCGCTGTTCCCGGTTGCCTTGGTAACCGCCTGCAAAGTGGTCCCCGCCTTTGAGAAAAAGATGCTTAAGTGGGAGATTCCAAGGAGTTACGTAACTCCTAGTCCGCGCAGCCTTGCTTCCCCGTGAAATAGAACTTCCCATGCGAATGCAACAGGAAAAATTGAGTGTTAAAGAGGATTGTAAAAAAGTAATCATTCTAGGACATAAGCTTGATCTCCCTAAACACATTGCATTCTCTTCACACATATTCTTCCTGGCTGATGACAATTATGAATCCTAACAATGTTTTAATCCAAAATTCTTTTGATAATTACTTTTGGGTGCCTTGCACAATCGTAGGCGTTGTTTTTTTCAAAAAAGGAATTATGACAGCCTGGCTGCAGGGAAGATGGGGTAGAATGCATATAGATAGGAAAGAAAAAAACGATACAAAATGCTTGTTTGTGTAGTGTTAACCATAAGTACCAAGAGAATCAGATGAAATGAGCAGAATGGACTAGAGAGTTTCCTTTGTAAATGTTACAGATAGCAAATATTTGAGTGCCCTTTAGGTAGGAGGCAAAGATAAGTAGTTATGAGGAAAGGTTCTGTGGAAAAGGTGGAATTTGAGAAGGACACAGGAAAAATGCAGTGGGTATTGTGTGCTTAAAATGGCAATGGTAGAGTGCAGTCTTTAAATGGCTATCCTTGAGGACTACATAGCTTTCTGATTTTGTTGAGTTCTAGCTGATTTGAATTTTAGAGATGTCTCAAGTTCCCATGTTAAGTGCTCTTATCTCCAAGATCCACCAGGGGTTCTTAACTGTGAGGGCTTGACGTACATGTGTTACAGTCTTAGTGTCATCAGTGATTGCTTTACTCACCAAAGATTTAAACAGTCATACTGATCTAACTTTGTAAATTCAAATGTATTTAAAGTTATGCAGCTAATAATATCACTTGAATTTACTATGCCTTCTTTAGTAAAAGGGAAAGGGGAGACTAAGTTGTCCGAACAGTGGCACTGTTGACATTTTGAACTGGATAATTTGTTCTTGTATGGAGCTGTTCTGTCCAGAGTAAGATGTTTAGCAGCATCTTTGGCCTCTACCCACTAGATGCCAGTGGCACCCCTTTCACCCCCTACCCCCAAGTCCTGACAATCAAAATATCTCCAGACATTTTCAAATTTCTACATTGTAGATATTTTGCCCCCATTTGAGAACCACTGAGGTAAACTTTCTGCTTGCATATGCAGTCCACAGTGTTCCCCTGCCTCCCACCCCCACCATAGAAGCATGTCTCTTTGTGAGAATGTCATCCATTACAGGGAACAACAGAGACCCCCTAGAAGGCTAGAGTATGTTCTCACTGTAATCTAGACCAGATTACATGTTTACTGGATTGTCCAAACTCTGCTTTGGTAGGCTGTCTGCTTTTTGATAATTTTAGTGACCAGTCTTCCAACAGAAGGTCAGGAAATGTAGTAAATATTTTTGGCTTCTTTGTAACTGTCTTTATATCCTTCCTATGTATTGGATTTACATGGTCTACTGAAAGTAACTATGGTAGAAGCCCAAAACTTTTGACTCCATTCCTTCATTCAGTTAGTAAATATTTGTTGAAGGTCTACCATGTGCCAGGCACTATGTTAGTACTGGTTTTAGAGTAGTGAATCAGTCAGGCAAACTCCTTATTCTCACAGAGCTTACATTCTAGAAGAGACAGACTATATGAGTGAATAGTCAATAATGCAATTTCAGGTAATAAGTACTAGGAATAAAATAGATAGAGAGTGACAAAGTGTGGGGCAGAGTCCTGTTTTGGACAAAATGGTCAGAAAACAGCTACTGTGGGGAAGTATAATTGAGTGCTAAGAAGCAAGCCCTAAAATATCTGGAGGAGAGTTTTCTGTAAAAGCACTATAGGAAAATATGTTCTTAATAAGTATATAGAATATTTTATGGCAGAGAGAATAGCAAATGTAAAGATCTTGAGATGGTTTGTTTAAAGAAAGGCAGTAAGGCAGTAGTGACACAAAGATGGTCAATGCCAAAGGCAGAGTGAATTTATTTCTCCTGCAAACATTTAAGTAGCCTCTGCTGTGAGCCCAACAATATCTGGAGAGTTCGGGATGAAAGAAGCAGAAGGCATGATTCCTGCCCTCAAGTTGCTCATAGTTCAGTGAGAGAAAGGTAACTGAAGAGAAGATTGCAAAACAGAAAAATAGGTGTTGAAGTAGTGGTGCATAGCAGGTCTCGGGGGAGCATGGATTGCAGGCAACTCACCCAAACTGGGGGAGTCATGGGAGAGCACCAAACAATCAGATATTTGTGGAACATGTATTGAATGGTAACTAGACTCTGTGCCAAGTCATTCATGGATTTTCTCATTTAATACTTCGAGGAGCATTCCAAGTAGTGTGTCCAGGTTAGTAAGTGGCATAGGGAGGATTTGAACTCTGAGCACTAGCCATCACATTACCCCACCATCCAGACTGGATTAGATCTCTCTGATGTGTGCTGTCATTGCACTCTGTACTTTTCCTTTCATCAGTTAATATAATTTGTAATTATGGTTTTATGTAGGTATTTGTCTCTTTTCCCCTGCAGGACTGTAAGCTGTCTTTCTTAGTTTATAGTCATTGTCTGCCTACCACAGTACCTGTACCCAAGCAATCAATAAATATTTTTTAAATAAATAAGCTCTACTGCTTATTCATATATGTTTACTAGCCAAGAATCACAAAGGAACCTTAGCTTTTCCATTAAACATATTATTCATCTACTTGAATCCTTTTGTGGCCCTTTGGGGTATCTCTATAATAATATCATACTTAAGAAGTTGAGAATAGTTTAATAGAAAAAAGGCTGCTTTGATTAAAGAATAACAAATTACATCTTTAGAATTTCTGCTTTGACTCTCTGACCTCTTAAGTTTTAAATTGCACTCTAAACTAGATACCCTTGGGAAAACCACTTAAATATGCAACTTGTGTTTTCTTTCTTTTATCCACTTCTTTGTTACATTCAGTTCTGTTCCTTTTTTTTTTTGTATTGACACTAAAATAGTTAAAAAGTAAGAAGCATAAGAGTAAAATAGTTAAAAATAAGGAGTATAAGAATAGTAAAGACACTAAGAAAACCATATACTAGACAGTTGGCTCTTGGTAATTTAGAATGTTTACTTGCTTATTATAAGGAAAGAAGTGTGGAACATAAAAATTCAATAATTTCTTATGTAACATTTAATTTTTTATTCTAGCAGCATTTGCCTGCATCCTAGTCAAATGTTTTTCCTGTATGTCTCTGAGTACTTATTTCCTTCCAAGCAAAATAAATGACTGATACCTTATACTACCATAAGTCATTAAAAAGTTTGCTCTTTTGCCCAGAGGAAAAAGTATTTCAGGAAAACAGTCTCTGATGGCCAAATTGCAATAATCAAATGTAAGAGTTTTTAATTCTGACTTTTATTATCTTTGCTTGTAGCTTTTTACCTGCGCCTACTCAGCTATCTCAGGACCAGCTTGAGGCTGAAGAAAAGGCAAGATCCCAGAGATCACGACAGACTTCACTGGTCTCCTCCCGGAGGGAACCTCCCCCATACGGGTACCGGAAAGGCTGGATACCTCGGTTACTAGAGGTAAATAATCGTGCTTATATTTGTTATAGCACTTTTGTAAAATAAATTTAAACCCTATGGCCTTGGTATATGAATGTCAATAATGTCAACATAATAGCAGTTTCGATTGTGAGCTCTTAAGACCTGTGGTCCTCTCAGGAGATTGATCTTTTTCTTCTTATCACTGCTTTGTGATCACAGGAGAATTGTACCATTTTTTATCTCTTCTTATGTCAAACTATTAAACATGTACAAAAGAAGCTAGCATACTCTCTATAAATCCGGGATTATAGCGTATGGAAAATAATGGGAAGGTAAGAGGGAAAAAACGAAAGAACCATTTCATGTTCGGGTGCTCTTCCCACCCTCCTTCCTCCTTGCACAACATATAACCCTGAAGGGAAGCCTTTCTCCAGGGAAAACTCCAGCAGCATTTCCTTTTCTGAGATCCTTTCCATTAGGAATAATGGAAAGAGTACTGACAAGGAGTTTTAAAAAGTAAATAAATAAATAACAACTGTTTTTACATCAGTTAGTTACTGTTTATTTGACCCTGGGCAGAGCCTAACCTGTCTTCATCTGTTTTCTTGTCTTCATTTTGAGAATGTTAATTACATGCCTAATACACAGATTAGATAAAATTTTAGAAGGTGTAAGAGACAGAATTTAATAGTTGATTTGAAGGGAGGGAGGGAGAAGGAAGAATCTAGAATGATCTTTTTATAGATCTCTAGCTTGTTCCCAAAGAACAAGCTCTTTGGCAGCACCTATCCTCCTAATTACTTAGGATCCTGTACATCAGTTTAATACATATTCCTTTCCCTAATTCCAGGATAGACTTCCAATGCTTGATCACCCTTTTTATCAAGGGAGAAAAGCAAACATTTGAGACTATTTTGCCTCCCCAGGACCTCCTCCTCTGGCATCAGTCTTTTTCTTCTCCATCTCCCAGTATTCATTCTGACTCCTGAAAATTTTTCTCCTCCACTTCCCAAGGAATCCCTGCCCTATTAAAAATCTCTGTGTCTATACCATTCATTTTTGTACCCAGTTATATTCATCTTATCAGTTTGTTGTATGTTGTTCTTACATAGTTATGATTTTTATTTAACAAATGTGAAGGGCTCATGCCCTTAGCTTTTTTTCATATGCCTCCAAGTGGTGATTATAGTGAACCGAGTATTTATTGGATTGAAACTTGTTGCCTAGCACCCTACAAGAAGCCATCTGTATTCTCAGCCTTTCTCATGTGTGTTATTCCCTGCTGCCTGCTCTTTATAGAGCCTAGAAAATGAACACCCAACAAAGTCATGTCTTCTAATGTATTCCTTGTTTATTTTTCCCTCAGCTATTCTTTGGTCCTTATTACTTCTAGTGTGTGGTGACCAGTCTTAATACAATTATTAAGAGATTTTTGTTGTTGTTTTTGCTTTCACTGATAGGGCAATTTAGAAGTAGAGCAAAATAAAAGATCAAGGAAGCTGTAATGCCCCCTCATCTGGGACAAAAAGGCAGTGGTTGGTATTTTCTTATAGAGGACTTGAGTGACTCTTTTGAGGGAATATAGACACTCATTTGGCCTCTCTGTAGATTCCAGAATGGAGGTGGCAGGCATCATTTTACATACAGCAGAACCCTCATCTTACATCCATTTCAGCATTAAGACATGCAGATACTGTTAGCTTTTGAAGATCTTACTTAACCATCAGAGGTTTCTTATAGCCTTGTGGAACAGAATGGTTTATTTGAAAATCAAACCAAAATGGCCAGCTAATCTGGAAATATCATAAATGCTTCTTGAGGGGAGTGAATGTTCTGTGGAGGAAAGCATTTTGTTCTAGTTTTCAAAGTGAAAGCTGTGATTTTCTGGCACACTTAATGACTACATCTACAGTTCTGAAGTGCTTATTGTAGTTGAAGAACTCTAGCAAATCTGAGAGTGTGTCACACTGATGGCATGGGTACAGGTAACACTTTTCTGGGAATGCTTTAACTATTTCTGCCTGATTTATAAGAAAATGTCTCTCTTGGCACATTGTTTTTATAAATGTCAAAACTTTCTTTAGCAAGTAAGCTTATTGTACCTAGGAAATCATATATCCAGGATCTAATGGAATATTCCTTGAAGGAGAAGGTCTTATATAAAAGTAGTTATTTTCATAAAATTTTCAAGCTCCCTCTAAAAGATTAATTTTTATATATTTTTCCTATCATTTTTTAATAGTAGGGACTTGCCTTTTTTGAGCTAAAAGGTATTTCAATTTAGTAGAAATAGAAAATACAGAGTGTTTTTGGAGTCAGAGGATCTGGGCTCAGGTCCTGCATATGCTAGCCATGAGACCTTGGGGAAATCACTTTAATGTTTCTAGACTTGAATTTTTTTCCATATAAAAATAGGAAGTATTGAAAAAGTATAAGAATTAAATGAGATAATATAGTATATGTGGATTATATATTGTAAATTATTATAAGACACTAAGCAACTATTACTAAATTTAACAACTATTCAAAAATTATATTATCTATTCAGAAACTATATTATTCATGTTTATTTGATGATCCACTTTTTTTGGTAATACTGAACTTCATTAACTTCACTGACAAAACTTGCTTGCTCTCTTTAGGAGTCTTAGTTTTCTCTTCTAAATAATTGTATATAATAATCATTCAAAATGTGGTGAACTCATTTCTGGGTCCTTCTATTTATTAACTTCTCATTGAACACTGAATAAGTAATACATTATTAAAATCTGGTTCCAAGAAAAAAATTCTTTACATTTCTGCCCTTACTATAGCTTAACTTGTTGCTCACTAAGAAAATCTTGTATGCTTAAACTACAAATCTTTTCCTCATCCTAAACACTTCGCTCAGTTTATTCCTGCCACATACATAAAATCCAGAGTCCTTGACCGTGGTCCAGAAACCCTTTCATAATTTGGTGTTCATCTGCCCACACAAGTGTATCACCTATGTGTCTGTTCCTCTGTCCGCAGTAAACTACAGCCCCACCGGACACTCATTTCCTAGTTGGAAAGAGTACTGACAAGGAGTTTTAAAAAGTAAATAAATAAATAACAACTGTTTTTACATCAGTTAGTTACTGTTTATTTGACCCTGGGCAGAGCCTAACCTGTCTTCATCTGTTTTCTTGTCTTCATTTTGAGAATGTTAATTACATGCCTAATACACAGATTAGATAAAATTTTAGAAGGTGTAAGAGACAGAATTTAATAGTTGATTTGAAGGGAGGGAGGGAGAAGGAAGAATCTAGAATGATCTTTTTATAGATCTCTAGCTTGTTCCCAAAGAACAAGCTCTTTGGCAGCACCTATCCTCCTAATTACTTAGGATCCTGTACATCAGTTTAATACATATTCCTTTCCCTAATTCCAGGATAGACTTCCAATGCTTGATCACCCTTTTTATCAAGGGAGAAAAGCAAACATTTGAGACTATTTTGCCTCCCCAGGACCTCCTCCTCTGGCATCAGTCTTTTTCTTCTCCATCTCCCAGTATTCATTCTGACTCCTGAAAATTTTTCTCCTCCACTTCCCAAGGAATCCCTGCCCTATTAAAAATCTCTGTGTCTATACCATTCATTTTTGTACCCAGTTATATTCATCTTATCAGTTTGTTGTATGTTGTTCTTACATAGTTATGATTTTTATTTAACAAATGTGAAGGGCTCATGCCCTTAGCTTTTTTTCATATGCCTCCAAGTGGTGATTATAGTGAACCGAGTATTTATTGGATTGAAACTTGTTGCCTAGCACCCTACAAGAAGCCATCTGTATTCTCAGCCTTTCTCATGTGTGTTATTCCCTGCTGCCTGCTCTTTATAGAGCCTAGAAAATGAACACCCAACAAAGTCATGTCTTCTAATGTATTCCTTGTTTATTTTTCCCTCAGCTATTCTTTGGTCCTTATTACTTCTAGTGTGTGGTGACCAGTCTTAATACAATTATTAAGAGATTTTTGTTGTTGTTTTTGCTTTCACTGATAGGGCAATTTAGAAGTAGAGCAAAATAAAAGATCAAGGAAGCTGTAATGCCCCCTCATCTGGGACAAAAAGGCAGTGGTTGGTATTTTCTTATAGAGGACTTGAGTGACTCTTTTGAGGGAATATAGACACTCATTTGGCCTCTCTGTAGATTCCAGAATGGAGGTGGCAGGCATCATTTTACATACAGCAGAACCCTCATCTTACATCCATTTCAGCATTAAGACATGCAGATACTGTTAGCTTTTGAAGATCTTACTTAACCATCAGAGGTTTCTTATAGCCTTGTGGAACAGAATGGTTTATTTGAAAATCAAACCAAAATGGCCAGCTAATCTGGAAATATCATAAATGCTTCTTGAGGGGAGTGAATGTTCTGTGGAGGAAAGCATTTTGTTCTAGTTTTCAAAGTGAAAGCTGTGATTTTCTGGCACACTTAATGACTACATCTACAGTTCTGAAGTGCTTATTGTAGTTGAAGAACTCTAGCAAATCTGAGAGTGTGTCACACTGATGGCATGGGTACAGGTAACACTTTTCTGGGAATGCTTTAACTATTTCTGCCTGATTTATAAGAAAATGTCTCTCTTGGCACATTGTTTTTATAAATGTCAAAACTTTCTTTAGCAAGTAAGCTTATTGTACCTAGGAAATCATATATCCAGGATCTAATGGAATATTCCTTGAAGGAGAAGGTCTTATATAAAAGTAGTTATTTTCATAAAATTTTCAAGCTCCCTCTAAAAGATTAATTTTTATATATTTTTCCTATCATTTTTTAATAGTAGGGACTTGCCTTTTTTGAGCTAAAAGGTATTTCAATTTAGTAGAAATAGAAAATACAGAGTGTTTTTGGAGTCAGAGGATCTGGGCTCAGGTCCTGCATATGCTAGCCATGAGACCTTGGGGAAATCACTTTAATGTTTCTAGACTTGAATTTTTTTCCATATAAAAATAGGAAGTATTGAAAAAGTATAAGAATTAAATGAGATAATATAGTATATGTGGATTATATATTGTAAATTATTATAAGACACTAAGCAACTATTACTAAATTTAACAACTATTCAAAAATTATATTATCTATTCAGAAACTATATTATTCATGTTTATTTGATGATCCACTTTTTTTGGTAATACTGAACTTCATTAACTTCACTGACAAAACTTGCTTGCTCTCTTTAGGAGTCTTAGTTTTCTCTTCTAAATAATTGTATATAATAATCATTCAAAATGTGGTGAACTCATTTCTGGGTCCTTCTATTTATTAACTTCTCATTGAACACTGAATAAGTAATACATTATTAAAATCTGGTTCCAAGAAAAAAATTCTTTACATTTCTGCCCTTACTATAGCTTAACTTGTTGCTCACTAAGAAAATCTTGTATGCTTAAACTACAAATCTTTTCCTCATCCTAAACACTTTGCTCAGTTTATTCCTGCCACATACATAAAATCCAGAGTCCTTGACCGTGGTCCAGAAACCCTTTCATAATTTGGTGTTCATCTGCCCACACAAGTGTATCACCTATGTGTCTGTTCCTCTGTCCGCAGTAAACTACAGCCCCACCGGACACTCATTTCCTAGAACTTGCCAAGCTTGTTCTTGCAGTGGTGCCTTCACACTCACTACTTGATATGCCTAGAAAATGTTCGCTCAGATCTCAGATCTTCTCAGGACTGAGTTCTCAGCATTCAGACATTAGCTCAGGTTACCGCTTCACTAAGCCATCCCAGCCACACTATTCAAAGTAGCCCATTCTACCAAGTCCTTTTATTACTTTACAGGCATTTATCATTATCACAAGCCAAAGATGCTTTTTATATGTTTTCCCGCTAGGATATACACTCCACAAGTTCAGGGACTTCTCTTTTGTTTACTGCCTCATCTCTAGCATCTTGCATAATAAGGGCTCAATAATTATTTGTTGAATGAATGAATGAATCTTGAATCTCAAATTACTGTTAAATATTCTTCTCCTTCTTTTCAATATATAGGATTTTGGAGATGGAGGTGCTTTTCCAGAGATCCATGTGGCCCAGTATCCACTGGATATGGGCCGAAAGAAAAAAATGTCAAATGCACTGGCTATTCAGGTGGATGCTGAAGGAAAAATTAAATATGATGCAATTGCTCGACAAGGACAGTCAAAAGACAAGGTAATCCTCTCATTCATTTTTATTCCCATTCATAGATATTTTGTGAAGAGGTTTTTGTTATTATGTGGAATTGATAGATCTCTAGTCATTTAGTTTATGTAAAATTAGCAGTGAAATAACACTAAGGCTAATTGAAGATATGACTTCATAACAATGATTTTTTTCCTTTGCAGTTCCCCCAAATGACAAGAGCCTACATATACTTAGAGTTTTTACTTACTTATTTTACATTTTAAATTAATTATTTTATACTACTAACATTTTTTAAGTGCTAGCAAATTTTTTTTTAATCTTCGATCCTAACACCCTAAGAAAACCAAAAATTAGTTTTGTTTATAGTCCCCTCCTATTCTCCATTATTTACAAAGTACTTACATAGATACTAAATTATTTTAATAGTTCATTTGAATGTAATAAATCACACAAACATCTTTCTCCCTCAATTTAGTACAAAACTAACTATTGCTATCTGGATTTAGGATGGCCCTGCTTACAAAGTAATCCAAAAACCAAAAATAAAATTTACTGAAAATAATCTCATCCCAGAGCAGTACACTCAGAGCCAAAAAACTGTTTTTAAGGACACCTAGTTTTTTTCTTATAAGTAAATACTCCAAATAGAGGTAAAGGATCTCTTTAGAATGGAAGATGTTAGGAAAAATACTTGAGAGCCTTCTATACCTGTCCTTTGCCTCTCTCTCTCTGCCCCATACCTTTTTATTGTACCCTCTAAAATATCACTAATGATAAGCCATCCTTTGCTCCTACGTCTTGGCTAAGTTTTGGGGGGAAACAATTATGCAGTCACACACATTTATATCTCAGGTTTCTTTTGGGCTGTCTTGGCATTCCTCTAAGCTTTAACTCCTGTTCCTCTCCATTCCCTCTCAAGCTCTCACGTGCCTCCCCATCAGTTTGCATGTAAAGACTTTTTGGAAGAAAATTGTCAGCTTTCCTTATCCTGAACTTGTTTTTTTGTCTTGAGTTTTCATTTTGTCTCTATAAAAAAATCTCTTCTATCCGAACTTTGCATCTTGCCAAATGTATTCTAGTGTATCCTCAGTTGCATCCCTTCCCCTTTCCTTTACTACCTCATTTTTTTGGTATTCTCAAGAAATCTTTCACCTTTCCTCTTCTGGCTTCTTCCTGTTAGCATTTGAATATGCTTGCTTTTTTCATCTTTTGAAAGAAAAAGTTTTTCTCTGACTACCCTCAAGGCTCCTTCTGGCTACCACCAAATTTCAATCTAATTTTCTTCACTTTCCTTCAAGATTTTTGCAAGAGGTGTTTTCTCCTCCCTCTATGTCTGTACCTCCCTTTCACTCTTCATTTCACTGTAATATAGCTCACCTCAGTCAGTCTGCTGACATAGTTTTCTGGAGAAGGTCTCTAGCACTTTTTTCTCAAAACACATTCTCTTTGACTTAATCTAATTTTTTCCCTTGGCTAAAATTTTCACTCAAATGCCCATGAATGCCAGTTCTGTGTCCGCAGCCCAGTTTTCTCTCCTGGGCTCTAGGTCCTTGTATCTTACTGTCTCAGCCTAGTCCAAATCTAGATGCATAATTTTCCACTTAATCTATCTTCTCTATTCTCTAACTCAGTGATTACTAATGATAATTTCCTGATTGAATACTCTAAAAACCTAGGAGTCCTTTTTCCCATCATCTTACTGATATTTTTTTAATTACACTAATAATGTATTCCTATGGTAAAAGGTACCTATAGTACATAAGTGTACAGTCCTGCCTACTTCTCCCACTTTACTTCCCTAATAACCTCTTCAGTGATGTATATCTTTCTAGACCTTTGTTATGGATTTAGATGTTTATGTATATGTTTCCCACTTTATACACACACACACACATAAACATATACATCTTTTTTTCCATGAGTGAGATTTTAATACTCATAACTTCCACATACTTCCTTTTTTTGCTTAATATATTTTGAAGATTATTGTTAGTAAATACAAATCTACTTCGTTAAAAAAAATCTGTATAGAAATCTATGATGTGCTGTGTCCCAATTTTTTTTTAAGCATTGATGGTTTCCAATTTTTAGTTTTGCAAGCAGTTCTTTATTCAAGATCCTGTACAGACATCTTTGCACAAAGGTATTTGTTTAAAATAAATTCTTAATAGTAGACTTAGTGGTTCAGTGGATATTCACATTTCAAAAGTGGCATAATGGCGGTATGGACCCTAAAAAGCATTGCTTAGCAATCATCCTATTCTTTTGTGTTGTCTCAGACCTGCCATTTGTTTAGTCACCATGATCTCACTTATCTCCCCCTAACTTCTCAAGTATATCCCCCTTTCCTGCTACTTAGTTTGGGCCCTTGTCATTTCTTCCTTGATTTACTGCAGCAAACTCTGAACCCATCTCCTTGGCTTTTGTCTTACCTGCCTAAAAAAATAAATTCATCACTATTTATCTGTTTTATTTCTCCCCACTCCGACATAAACACACATGGTGGCCTTAAGGACAAGAACTGCCAAGCTGCTTCTGGTACACTTGACCTCTTGCTTACTTACCTTTTTAGCCTATTCTCAACTGTCATGATCAGAATACTGAAAGCCAAAAACAAATAGTCCAGTTTAGCCATTCTCTTTATTTTCACTACAAAGTCATCACCTTTGTTGGTGGCTGTTAAAGACAAAAAAGCTTTCAAGCATCCCCTGTAAATGTCTACCATGAGGAACTACTTGCAGCTCCTCTAAGATGACATGTTCTCTCTTGCCTTGGGAACTCCCATGGCCCTCCTGTGCCTGGGGGAGCCCTCCCCCTATTATTTCACTAAATTCTATTGATTTATAATCATAAGTCACTGTTATGTTTTTGTATATTTCAGGGTATTCTCCCTGTCTTCCCTGGGTACATTGGGTATCCTTCCTCCCTATGCCCAATGTTTATTATAGCAATCATCACCTTTTGTTGTAATTATCTACTCACTACCTGAGTATAAATTCTTTGAGGACAGAGCTTATTTCTTTATATTTTCCTCTTTGGCCCCAGTGTAGTACCTGACAGCTTGTCACACAGGCATTCACCAGTGTTTGTTGGAAGAATGATAGTTGTTTTCATTGAATAACAGAAAACTACTCCTGAAACCAGTAAGGAAGTCTAATCCACCTCTGCAAAAGGCAAAGTAGGTCCCTATATATTCAGAAAATATACTGGAAATTTGTCCTGTGCCATGGAGGCCTGCCCTGGGCTCCAGCTGCCTGTTATGGTGCATCTTTCCTTTGGAAGAGTCATTGTTCTTTATTGGCATGTGCTGCCTCTCCTCTCTTATATGTTAGGAAAAAGCAACATTTTAGGACAGTAATTTGTCATGAGCAAGTTATATAAAATACAGTTTTAACCCATTTTTGTATTATATTACAAGATTGGAAAAAAACCTTGAATTTTATCTGATTTCTAAGGAATGTCTAAAAGGTTTTTGCTTTCTCTTAACAAGCATGCCTTTTGGTGATTATTTTGTACTGAAAGTAGAGTAGAATGTTAAAATTGAGCCATTTATTCTTAGATTTCAGTAGTCTTGCCAAACAAGGTTTCTGAAAAATTGTTGCTTTATAAGATAAAAGCCTGATGAATCAGACAATACAAAGAAATAAAAGGCATCCAGATTGGTAAAGAAGAAGTTAAACTGTCACTGTTTGCAGATGACATAATATAGTACATAAAACACCCTAAAGAATCCACTCCAAAACTACTAGATCTAATATCTGAATTCAGCAAAGTTGCAGGATACAAAATTAATGCACAGAAATCTCTTGCATTCCTATACACTAATGATGAACTAGCAGAAATAGAAATCAGAAAACAATTCCATTCACAATTGCATCAAAAAGAATATATTACCTAGGAACAAACCTAACCAAGGAAGCGAAAGACCTATACTCTGAAAACTACAAGACACTCATGAGAGAAAGAAGATACCAATAAATGTAAATACATCCCATGCTCATGGATAGGAAGAATTAATATTGTCAAAATGGCCATCCTTCCTAAAGCGACCTACAGATTCAATGCATTACTGTCAAAATACCAACAGCATTCTTCAACAAACTAGAGTAAATAGTTCTAAAATTCATGTGGAACCACAAAACACCCTGAATAGCCAAAGCAATTCTGAGAAGGAAGAATAAAGTCGGGGGGAATTATTCTCCCTGACTTCAAGCTCTACTACAAAGCCACAGTAATCAGGACAATTTGGTACTGGTACAAGAACAGAACCATAGACCAATGGAATAGACTAGAGAACCTAGATATAAACTCAAGCATATATGGTCAATAAATACACCATAAAGGAGCCATGGACACACTGGGGAAATGACAGCCTCTTCAACAACTGGTGTTGGCAAAACTGGACAGCTACATGCAAAAGAATGAAACTGGATTATTCTCTAACCCCATACACAAAAGTAAACTCAAAATGGATCAAAGACCTGAATGTAAGTCATGAAACCGTAAAACATAGGCAAAAATCTCCTGAATATAAACATGAGCAACTTTTTCCTGAACACATCTCCTTGAGCAAGGGAAACAAAAGCAAAAATGAACACTTGGGACTACATCAAACTAAAAAGCTTCTGTACAGCAAAGGACACCATCAGCAGAACAAAAAGGCATCCTACAGTGTGGGAGAATATATTTGTAAACAACATATCTAACAAGGGGTTAACATCCAAAATATATAAAGAACTCACACGCCTCAACACCCAAAAAGCAAATAACCCTATTAAAAAATGGGCAGAGGATATGAAGAGACAATTCTCCAAAGAAGAAATTCAGATGGCCAACAGACACATGAAAAGATGCTCCACATCACTAATTATCAGGGAAATGTAAATAAAAACCACAATGAAATATCACTTCACAGCAGTTAGGATAGCCAGCATCAAAAAGTCTAAGAACAACAAAGCTGGTGAGGATGCGGAGAAAGGGGAACCCTCCTACACTGCTGGTGGGAATGTAAGCTAGTTCAACCATTGTGGAAAGCAATATGGGTTCCTCAAAAAACTAAAAATAGAAATACCATTTGACCCAGGAATTCCACTCCTAGGAATTTACCCAAAGAATACAAGTTCTCAGATTCAAAAAGACATACGCACCCCTGTGTTTATTGCAGCACTATTTACAATAGCCAAGATATGGAAGCAACCTAAGTGTCCCATCAGTAGATGAATGGATAAAGAAGATGTGGTACATATACACAATGGAATACTATTCAGCCATAAGAAATAAACAAATCCTATCATTTGCAGCAACATAGATGGAGCTGGAGGGTATTATGCTCAGTGAAATAGGCCAGGCAAAGAAAGAAAGGTACTAAATGATTTCCCTCATTTGTGGAGTATAACAGTGAAGCAAAACTGAAGGAACAAAACTTCACAGACTCCAAGAAGGGACTAGTGTTTACCAAAGGGGAGGAGTAGGGTAGGGAGGGAGAAGGGGATTGAGGGGTATTATGATTGGTACACATGGTGTGGGGGGAATCATGGGGAAGACTGTGTAGGCAGTAGAAGGCAGAGAAGGCAAATAGTGACTCTGTGGCATCTTACTACACTGATGGACAGTGACTGCAATAGTGTATCAGTGGGGACTCGATAATATAAGTGAATTATAGTAACCACATTGTTTTTCCAGTGAAGCTTTCATAAGAGTGTATATCAATAATACCTTAATAATAATTCTAACAAACTAAAAGCCTTATATGTTTGTCTATAGTGCAGCCATTAGAAATGAACCCAAAACTACTAGTTTATAGTAGGTTCATATGGAGGAAGCTATGGAAGTGTAGGGGCAGAGGTTATATAGGAAATCTCTACATCTTACTCTTAATTTTGCTATGAACCTAAAACTGCTCCAGAAACAAAGTCTTTAAAAAAAAGTACAGTAAGGATTTTTAAAAAATGAATAGGGCACGCAATGAATTGAAGACAAGATTGTGATTAGAAGGACTACCTGGACTGTTCTAACATAATTTCTGGTGGCTGTATTTCCTTGCTGGACTTTATACCCTGGAAAATACATTTGAATTCCTTATACAGATTTAATAAATATGTACTTTAATTATTAAGAAAGTTGATGTATTGATGCATAAAGTTTTGAATGCACCTAATAACTCAGTATTAACCGAATGCCTTCTGTGCATTGGGAATAGGGGTGGGAGACACTTCTTGATGGTTTGGGACTGTCATGAAGATTGTATAGTGTTCAACATAACTGGGACTACCTGTTAAATGCCAGTGCTTTCTTGCCCCCATTGCCTTTACCAGAAATACCTCACATATTTACAGAGGTCTAGGAAGGGAGTTAGAGGTGACTGCAATACCCTGTTTTTAAACCACTGGTGTTCCCAATTTAGAAGTAGGAATTGGCCACTCAATGTACAAAATTGGATTTAAAAAATTCACTATCATTTAAGAGCCAGACATGCAGAGTGTTTGATGTAGGATGAAAATAGTTTATTGGATTAGTGAATTTGCACTATAGTGCAGATTCCTCATGTACATCAAAGGAAATTGGGTATTCTTCAGAAACTAGGAAATTCTCACTAAAATATTAATAATGAAAGAGCAAGAATGAAGTATGCTTGGCTTAGGTAGAAGAGATGAGGAACAAGGCAAGATTCCAAGGGATAATGTGCTGGGTGGGGCAAGTCTGAGCTCTCTGTGTAAATACTGTGTACAAGACTTACTCGCAATATAAAATTCGGAGGGGGAAAAAATTCTTGAAGTAAACCTTAGTAAAAGTAAATGAGTTTTTTCCCCAATTGTGACTTAAGTGATATGTCTTGATAAAAAGCCTTGGTGTTTACATTTTCCATTCTGAAATAGTTATAAAGGAAATGTTACATACATGATATTACCTAGAAGAATGCCTTCAACCCCTCCCCCGCCAAAAAAAAGTCCCACATCTTTAAACTGACCCCAGAATAAATTGTACATTGTTACCTTGTTCATACGATTTCACAAACTAGCTAAACCTAATGATAGTGTTTTCTTTCTATCTCAGAAGTGGTGAATATTATCCTTTTAGTCAATCCAGCCCTTCATTATTTTTCAGTAATTAAAAAAAAGTGTGTTTCACAGGTGAGTTGTTGCTTTATGTTACTCACAAAGATAATGTGTGCTCATGATATCTTCAAGAGTATGTTGTATTTTTCAGATAACCCTCTCCAATCCCTTTGCCCCCTGGGATATACTGAGTTTCTTCAGCACATTTGGTTCTAAGGCAAAAAAATTGGGGGTTTTATAGTTAATAACCATGGAGGAATCTTGCTCTTCAGATGTCCTTCACTCAGCTTTGTAAGATGGTAGAATCTTATTGATGCTCATTTAAGGGCTTATTAACTTTGGAATACCCAAATAAGAGGCAAATGGCTCTTGTATGCTAAATTAGTATTGAGACTTTATGTTGAGCATACATGACTACCAGGGAGCCATTTACTTAGTATCCCTTCCTGTAATGATTGCTGTATAAAAGAAATTAACCCTTCATAATCTTGGCATTAATTTTTAGAGAACTGGAATTCTTGTGTAGAGAAATAAGACTTGCAGTCAGTTATAGCTGTGTGATCTAAATGCACCGAGTCTCAGTCTTCTCATAGAGTGAGCCTTTGGGTCCCTTAGAAAATGAGTGCTCCGAGAAGATGGTGATACTAGGAGCTCACATATCAGGATTACATGTTTTGTGGTAAATCATCTACACTTTCTCACCTGACCCCTTTTCTTATTCCTGAGAAAAACAAGCTAGAGATTTCAGTCTGTAGCCATGAGATAGTTTTTCTGGGAATCAACAGCTTACATAGAATGTTCTGCAGGCCCTAAAATATAGTCACCTTTAGCATGGAATAGAGCATCTTTAAAATTCATAAATTTGTACATGCATTTATACAAAAAGTATTGACTGAATAGCCTTTGTGGACCAGGCCTGATTACAGGCACTGGAGATATTTTCATGAATAATAGATTCCTCATCAGTAATGTAGGACTAATCATTGTGCATACCTCATAAGGTCAATATGAAAGTTAAATTAGTTAATATATATATATATAGCTAAATAACAGTGACACAAAATAAGTGATTAATAGATTCTAACTATTATAATTATTATTGTTACTACTGAAATAGAGGACACAGAAAAACAGGTAACATAGATAAATAATTCCAAACAATGAGCAGTGTTTTTAAGATAGTAAACAAGAGTGCTTAACACTTAATTGATTGGGTGGGAAGGGTTGCTGCTTTAGCAAGGGTAGTCAGCAGAGGCCTCACCAATGCGTGCATGACCTTTGAACTGAGACTCAGGTTGAGAACTCAACTGGGAACAACACTCTATAAAGTCCCAGAATTGGGGAAAAGCATATTGTGTTAAAAAAAAAAAAAAAGAATACAAGTGCCCATGTGGCTGAAGCAAAATGAATGAAAGAGCAAAAAGGTACAGGGAAAAATTGAAGTTTTAGCAAAGCCAGGTCAGGCCATACAGGCCATAAAGTGTTTTTTGCTCTGTTGTTCAGAGTAAGAAATTAAGAATAGTGTGCATTTCCTTTAAGCTATTTTAAAGGAACGTTGTGATAGAATTCAATTTTTGATATAGGACTTTTGGCTTATAGTAATAAAGAGTTTTCTTCTGAAGAGTATTTTTGAAGATCTCAGGTGCCCAGGAATTTGGTTTTCTTCCATAGTCGTAAGTTGCCCTTTCTTCTATGGTGTCAAAGAATTCCTGACTCAGGCAGCAAAATCAAGTATGCTACTTATTTGTTAAATTTCCACTACCTCTTTTTTTCTGTAAAATCTGCCATGTAAGTTCTCATGAAAATATTTGAGACGTATAGACAGACATGAAAGTAAGTAATGTTTCTATTTGTTGGGGGCTAACCACATCACTGTCAGCCTTATAGAAACCATGTGGAGCCTAGTAGAAATCAGATAGCAGTCTTGAATTTGAATAATGAGTGTAAAATAAGTTGTGTATTTTTTTTTTTCATGGAAGAAAGTCTTCGGAGTTTTTTGACCATAGCATATGTTCATTTTCCTTAGTCTGTGAATAGAGTTGATGCCAGAAAAGACAAACATTATAAGTAGGGTGAGGTCAGTGAAATTTTCCAGGCCCAGTTAATTTGGAAATTATTTGGTAACCTGACTTAAATTCTGATGAGCTTGTAATCCAAAATAATGGTGCTCTAGGCAATTTATATCATGATTAATTTCAAGTCCTAGTGAGGCTCAAAAATAGGAATCACTGATGCATAAGATTTTGTTGGCACAATTTATTTCGATACAGACTTGATTAGACAATCT